TAACGCAGCATATGTCCGTCCACACGAAGGAGAACAGGTTCAGCTGTGACGTCTGCGACAAAAGATTCACATGGCTGTATCAGCTCAAAAGACACCAGTGTGGTGGCGAGTCCTTGCAGCTGCACAGGCTCTGGACCCATCAGGAGGAGTTCCCATTCGCTCTTGTCCCCGTAAAGAGCGAGGACGAAGGGAAAGCTCGGTCCTCACAGCTTCATCAAAGAAAGACTAAACCTGATGGAGAGGACTGTGAAGCACCAGAACCAGCCAGGAGCTCAGATACAGAGGACAGGACTGAAGGATTAAAGGTTGAAATCACTTATGATGATTGGACAGAAACCAGTGGACCTCAGTTAGATTTAAACTCTGTGAACGTCTCCGAGGTTGACCTTGGATGTAATACTGGAAAGAAATCCTTCAGCTGCACCGAATGCGGGAAAATATTTGGCCGCAAGGAACATCTGCAGACACATGCCAGGATTCACACTGGAGAGAGACCGTTCAGCTGCTCTGATTGCGGTAAAACATTTGGCTGCAAGAGGTCCCTCTTGGGCCACACCATGAGCCACACCGGAGAGAAACCCTTCAGCTGCTCTCAGTGCGGGAAAAGATTTGGCCGGATGGTGAATCTGAAAACACACGAGAGACTTCACACCGGCGAGCGACCATTCAGCTGCCCGTTTTGTGGTAAAGGTTTTACGCAGAAGGTTCACATGACTCAACACATGGCCGTCCACACAGGAGAGAAACAGTTCAGCTGCAGTGTCTGTGAGAAAAAGTTCACGTGGCTGTCAGGGTTTCGACGACACAAGTGCGGCAGTGAGCAGTCGGAGCTCGAGACCGAGGAGAACTCAGAGGCAGAACTGGGTGAGAAACCGTTCCGCTGCCGTCAGTGTGGAAACAGATTCAACCACAAACACAACCTGAAGGCTCACATGAGAATCCACACAGGAGAGAAACCATTTAGCTGCTCTGTATGTGGGAAAGGCTTCACTGCCAGCGGAGCGCTGAAGAAACACTTGAGGACTCATTCAGGAGAGAAACCATTCAGCTGCTCCGTCTGCAGCATCAGATTTACACAAGGCGGGAATCTGAAACGACACATGGCTCAGCACATGGGACAAACAGGAGAGAAACCCTTCAGCTGCTCTGTCTGCGAGAAAAGCTTCACGCAAGTATCAAATATGAAGAGACACATGACACAACACATCACCACGGAAACAGCTGAGTCAAAGGAAGCAGGAAGTGAAAGTAAGAGTCTGTTAACGGTTGACAAACTTTATACAGTCACTTAATGCCAAAAATGTGATTCATTGGAGAATAATATATAATAATAACTTCAGCAGTCGCTGCTTGAAGAGTGTGTGTAAGAACATTCAATCAAACAATCCACTACAACAAACCCAAACCAGGAAATCAAGATAACAGCGTCTGTCTCATTGTTCTTTTTGAAAATTTGTTTTTTGGGGCTTTAATTGCCTTTAATGGATAGTGACAGAAAAGGGCCACAAGTTGGACCCGAACCCCGGGCCGCTGCAGCAAGGACTCAGCTGGGGCACATGGGGCACCAGCTCCATCAGGTGAACCATCCTAGTGCCAGTTCAAACAATGCCAATTAGGCTGTTTACAGTACGTACACGGGGTCCTCCGACGGACTCCAGAGACACGGCGTTTAGACGACTGATGGGATGCTGAAGGTAAAGTGTGGGAAGCTGGCGTCTCTCCTCCACTGACCAACCGCAGCGCAGTGTGGAGTCGGTGTTATGGCGTGGCGTTTTTAGAGGTTGTGATGATTGTAGGAAGCGTGAATGACCATCGTATTCTCAGCTTCAGCTCCCGACTGGAGCCCACGGGGGAAGAGTTCAGCAGAACCAACTGCAGTGAGTTAACTAATAAGTAAAGACTCCAAACAATCTGCTATATGTCGCACATCTGGATGTTCTTTTTAAGTGTCAGAATAATCTTCAGTGTGTTTGTGGCGCATTAGGAAGAATAAATTTAAAGAATTACAGTTTATATTTACACTGTTGATCTCTCTATATCTCCCCCTGGTGGCTGACTGCAGTATAGACTCTCTCTCTATATCTCCCCCTGGTGGCTGACTGCAGTATAGACTCTCTCTCTCTCTCTCTCTCCCTGGTGGCTGACTGCAGTATAGACTCTCTCTCTCTCTCTATCTCCCCTGGTGGCTGACTGCAGTATAGACTCTCTCTCTCTCTATTTCACCCTGAGTCAGTCTGATTGTGTCTGAATGAACGATGAAAGTATTGATCAAGAATAAATGTTCTTTTGTTCTGAAAACATCTACATTTATATTTATATGTTATAAATCTACAGAATGTCTCTCAATGAAAGATTTGAAGCTTCAATAAAACACAGTTTCTGGATGTGTTGAGAAAAAAAAAAGATGAATAAAGTTATTGATCTGAAATTGGTTCTTATATTTAATGTTTTCATTATTTTCTGATTTAATATTTTTGGTCATTACATTTTTAATGTTTACAGAAGATGTAATTAATCTAATGTAATTTATCTATTCATACAGTCACATTTAATATTTCACATATTTATATTTATATATTCATTTATATATATATATTTATATAAATAAATATATTTATATTTATATATTTATTTATGAGTTAAATATACATCTATTGATGCACTTAGACACATCATCAGTGATGGAACCTGGGATCTTTCAACATCATACACCCTCACCCAGGCGACCCAGCCGGGATTGATCAAGTCCGGACTTGTGTCTAAGAGCATGTACCCACGGATCACCCCTCTTGATCCACAGTCATCTAGAGGCCTTCTCAGCTGCCTCTGTTGTGGTCGTGCACCACTCTATTTTTTTCAGCTGAGCACGCCAAAGCGGAAACAGGAAGAAGGACGAGTTCGAGGGCAAGCTTTCTGAGCAAGTGCACCTCTACAGGCATCTGTACGATCCTTCAATGAAGGAACACAGAGATGCCCAGAGGTGCCAGAATTCATGGCGAGAAATCACCATGAATATTGGAAAAGAGGAGGCCATATGTCGGAAAATTTGGAAGAACCTCTTCTTCTTCTAGGGCATAGAAATAGCAAAGTCGGTAGCCTTTCCTCAGTTGCGACACCTCTGTTCAGGAGAAGACTGCAACTAGTGTTGCGACCACCACGCATAAGTATAAATAGTTACAGCGCTCCCGTGACGTCACATTGTCGCACTACAGGTCGGGAACGGCGACTATGTAACAGCCTTAAGTCGGCGTAGTTGGCACGCTTCCTCTCATTCGCTTCTTCCATATGCTCCTCCCAGGGGACTGTCAGCTCCAGAAGAACCACCTGTTTTGTTGAATCTGAGAACAGAACTCTGTCTGGTCTCAGGGTGGTTTCCACGATGTGCTCTGGGAATCTGAGCTGCCTCCCCAGGTCGGCCTTCATCTGCTAGTCTGGCACGGTTCCAAGGAGTCCCACTGCCCCCCTTCGGAGAGGCTTGTTCTGGGTGATGCTGGTGAAGATGGCTTCTGCTGTCACCTTCAGCACCTGGTCGTGGCATATCCTCAGCAACAGCTGAGGATATGCTCTAGCGTGCCTCTTCTGAGGCACAAGGGACATGATGGTGTGTCGACCTTGCCCCAACAGAAGAGGTTGGCTGGGCTGGGTAAGACGTTATAGACGGACGCAGTCAGGAACTTGATCCGGTAAGGCTCAGCTTGCCGAAGCTCGGACCAGGAGATCTTGCGGTCCACTGCCTGTTCCCATCTCGTCTGTGCACCTTGCTGTCGCATCCCCACCATCTGGCTAGCGTGCAGTTCCTCCACACCAGCTCTCACCTCCTGTTGGACCAGTTGGCGTCTGTCTTTGCCCAGGGCCTTGCCGTAGCGCGTGGTTGGAACGCTACCAAGCCCTGTTGGTCCAGATGCCACTGGGCCGTGGCAGGCCCAGCCATCTACGAAGGTTACAGCTGATCCTCCTTATATATAACCCTAACCCTATATTTAGGGTTAGGGTTATATATTTATATAAATATATAAATAGGGTTAGGTTAGGGTTATATATTTATATATTTCATGCAGAACTGTTCCAGGCTTTTTGTTTTTATTGTCAGAAGATCTTCATTCAATATATAACAATGAATAATAATAATAATAATAATAACCAATAATATTGATATTATATTAATATATTAATATTGATCAACTCAATACAATTGGAGCTCCAGGTGAGGCTGTGGCTCAGAGGTGGAGCAGCTCGTCTACCTGTTGGAAGGTTGGTGGTTGAACTCTGGATTGGAAGCACTGCACTGGATCAATATTTGATCAGTTATTGGATCGTTATTACATTTTTTAATGTATTAATCAGTGACTACATTTGCACACTGTTATTGTAAATATTGGCCATTGATCAGGCTGATGTAAACAGTTTGGATATTCCTGATCAGGTTGTATGTATCAGTATTAATTACCAGATTAACACCTCCAGCACACCTGCTGCTAACGTTAGCTGCTAACACTGCTGCAACACTGCTTAGCTTAGCTCTAGAGTTTATACACTGTTTATTGATTATTGATTGAATCAGCTCCATATAGAACACAGCTCTAGAGTTTATACACTGTTTATTGATTATTGATTGAATCAGCTCCATATAGAACATAAATCTAGAGTTTATACACTGTTTATTGATTATTGATTGAATCAGCTCCATATAGAACATAAATCTAGAGTTTATACACTGTTTATTGATTATAGATTGTTGATTGCAGTTGACTGTTGAGGACGCTGATCAACATTTTATTTGATCACTATAGTTGTTTTATTGATTTATTAAATATCTTTAAATAGATCTATCAGTTAATGATCGATTACTTGTTGATCTGTTTTTGTTTTTATCTTTGGCTGCAACTTTGGACCCCCACCCCACCCCTCCCAAGTTGATCTTTGTTGTGCTTAATGACGTCCGGCGTCGGCCCCGCCCCCTCCTCTTCCTCAGCCTATGGAGGATTTATTTGTTTTCTCCTCCTCCTCCTCCTCCTCCTCCTCCGCTGCGTCCATTATCACCGTGAAGAACCGCAGCGGGACACCGCGACAACAGGAGGCCGAGCGACAGGGCCGGACCGCCGGGGAGGAGCGGAAGATGAGCACCGCCGCCGGGATGGAGAGCCGACCGGAGCCGCCGCCGCTGAGTTACCCCGGAGGAGGCGACATGACCGCGGAATAAACAGGCGAGAGGACGCCGCTGCGCCTGTCGGTGAGTGCGGGAATGAATGGAGGAAAGGAGGGAGGGAGGTGAGGAGGATGGAGGAGGAGGTGAGGAGGATGGAGGAGGATGGAGGAGGATAACAGGTGGATGTTCTGATGGCGGTTGAAGGTGCAGACAGAGCGGCTCTCTGACCGCTGCTATGTCCGCTGCTCGAGGCTCCAGAGCGGGCAGAGAGCTCCAGAGAGAGCCGCTGGATCCACCTGGAGCTCCCTTTTATTATTATTATTATTATTATTATTATTATTATTATTATTATTATTAATATTATTATCATTATCATTATTATTACTGTGAGTCACATGGCGGTGCACTGACTGTCTTGCAGCGGCTCACAGTCAGGATGTCTGGGCCGCCCGCTGGGACCGGGACCGGGACCGGAACCAGAACCGGGACCGGACCGGGGCTGCCGGATCTGAGCCACCTGACGGAGGAGGAGCGGAGCATCATCCTGTCGGTGATGGAGCGGCAGAAGAAGGAGGAGGAGAAGGAGCAGAGCATGCTGAAGTAAGTATTGATTATTGATCAGTGGTGATCAGCTGCCAACTGGTTTGTGTCTGTCAGTCAAAATAAAAGCACATCGCCTACGGTGTGAATTTTCAAAATAAAATCCGCCCAGTTGCAGCACAGAGAGAGTGGAGAGTAAATGACGTCACAGTATATGACCTCTGACCTCCAGTCAGTTTGTCTGTCTGTTGTTTGTGTTGTTTACAGTTCAACAAACAAACAAAAAAATAGTAAACAATGTGTTAGTGTAGATCAATAATTAATCAATAATTTTTATTGATCAGTTATTAGCACATTCAGACTCATTGATCGGCTGAAGTTCAGTGAAAGAAGACTCCGCCCACTGTAACCTGTCTTTGATTGACAGCTCGGTGATCTGGCTTCTGATTGGTCGAGGTGTGAGCGGTACAGTGCTACGTCTGGGCTTTTATTGTGAAGGTAGATCTTGTTGTTTGTCTGTAAACAAGCGAGGAGCATTCAATGTTTATTTATTGTTTATTTGTGTACGGACAAGACTCTGTGAGACTCTCTGAGACTCTGAGACTCTCTGAGACTCTCTGAGACTCTGTGGGACTCTGTGGGACTCTGTGGGACTCTCTGAGACTCTCTGAGACTCTATGGGACTCTATGGGACTCTGTGGGACTCTGTGAGACTGTGAGACTGTGAGACTGTGAGACTCTGTGAGACTGTGAGACTGTGTGAGACTCTGTGAGACTCTGTGAGACTCTCTGAGACTCTCTGAGACTCTCTGAGAATGTGAGACTCTGAGACTCTCTGAGAGTGTGAGACTGTGAGACTGTGAGACTCTGTGAGACTGTGAGACTCTGTGAGACTGTGAGACTGTGTGAGACTCTGTGAGACTGTGAGACTCTCTGAGACTCTCTGAGAATGTGAGACTGTGAGATCTGAGACTCTGTGAGACTGTGAGACTTGAGACTTGAGAGAGACTCTCTGAGACTCTGTGAGACTGTGAGACTGTGAGACTCTGTGAGACTGTGAGACTCTGTGAGACTGTGAGACTCTGTGAGACTCTCTGAGACTCTGTGAGACTGTGAGACTCTCTGAGACTGTGAGACTCTGTGAGACTCTGTGAGACTCTCTGAGACTGTGAGACTGTGAGACTCTGTGAGACTGTGAGACTCTCTGAGACTCTGTGAGACTGTGAGACTCTGTGAGACTCTGTGAGACTCTGTGAGACTCTGTGAGACTCTGTGAGACTGTGAGACTCTGTGAGACTTTGACTCTGAGACTCTGTGAGACTGTGAGACTCTGTGAGACTGTGAGACTGTGAGACTCTCTGAGACTCTGTGAGACTGTGAGACTCTGTGAGACTGTGAGACTGTGAGAGAGGGCTAGAGAATGATGATCATTATTATCTCTGATCAGTTATTACTGATACTGATTAATCAGCAAGTTTCTTAACTTTTCTTCAGTATCAAAGGAATCAGTGATAGATGGAGCTAACAAGAGCTAACAGCAGTTAACAAGAGCTAACAGCAGTTAACAGGAGCTAACGGGAGCTAACAGGAGCTAACAAGAGCTAACAGGAGCGAACTAGAGCTAACAGCAGCCAACAGGAGCTAACAGGAGCTAACTATAGCTAACAGGAGCTAACAGCAGCTAACAGGAGCTAACAGGAGCTAACTATAGCTAACAGGAGCTAACAGCAGCTAACAGGAGCTAACAGGAGCTAACTATAGCTAACAGGAGCTAACAGCAGCCAACAGGAGCTAACAGGAGCTAACTAGAGCTAACAGGAGCTAACAGCAGCTAACAGGAGCTAACAGCTAATTCAGCTACTGTCAGTGG